ACTATAGAATTTCTATGAGACGGTGGAGAACGACGAGGTGTTTGAGACCGATGAGACGATCGAGAGCGGTGGGCTGTTTGATAACGGTTTGATTTTGAGTGTTCATGCCTCTTATGGCTTCTTGAGGAACTGTGAGGTGATGAAACTCTTTTATGTTTAAAGTGATGATGAGATCTTGATCGAGAACGTGATCTTCGTTTCGATTTAGATTTTGAATGAAAATCTTTCGAATCATTTTTGTTTGAAACAATAAATTTCGATGATGGTTTCAACATTAATTTTTTCATATGATCTTCCAATTCTTTTTGCCTTGCTATAAGGAAATAAATCATACAAATTTTGAAAGCAATAATTAACAAAATTTATAGCGAGAAAAACGCATTCGAAGAAGTTCTATTGATAACAAAAAATAAAAACAAAATTTTCGACAGTAATCTATTGGACATCGAGCGTAGCGGCGAATACTCGGCGCCGAACACATACCCTAGAGAGAAATATCAACTAAAAAAAACCCATATAAAGTTCTTTTTCGTTTGTCTTGCAGGAAACATATTTTGACTCGAATAATGAGCATCTAAATGAATCTGTAAATTTTAGTGAACAAGATATAGATGAACATCAATACAACAAAGATGAATATGAAAATAAATCTGTAAATGTTTTTGAACAAGATATAGATAAGCATCAACACAATAAAGATGAATTTGTAAATATTTTCGAGCAAGATATGACTGAACATCACGATAACGAAGATGAACAGAGTTGTTCTTTTATTGGTAATTCTGAAAACGTGCAGGATGAGAGTGATCGGTGGTCATTTACGAATGATTTTAAAGATGTAGAGAATGAGTGTAGTGATTCCCAACCTTTACATAAAAAATATTCTTACGAATTTCTTCGAAAAGTTTTACCTATACTTGCACTCAAATTGAAATATAATTTAGTTTTTGAAGCTTGCCCTGAAATTGCTGATATAGTAAATACTTTCTCCAATTCTTTTGGAAATATTTCTGTTTATCATTTTGAAGAAATCAGTAAATTATTTTCAACTCCAATGAATACTCATCATTTATGTCCTGAATGCCACTGTTACGTAGGCCCACAACCAAATACGAAATGTGTTAACAACGAAAAACTATGTTGTTATGCATGTAACACAAATTTTGATTTTAAAAAGAATCTTGAAACTCCAGGTTATTTTTTCACGTAAATCCCATTAGAAAATCAGCTCGAGCGTTTGTGTGAGAAATATCATGACAAGATGGTCGATTCAATATCAAGAAAGATGAAATGAACTACCTCCTAAAATAAGAAGAAAAAACGTTATGCTCGTTAGTTTATGGTTTGGTAAAGGGTAACTTTCTACTAATGAATAATTGAAACCATTGGTTACTGAGTGTCAAGATTTATATAAATTAGGCTTTACTTATACGAACAATGGAGTTTCATACACAAAAAAATGTCAAGTTTTAAATATTATCGCAGATTCAATTGACCGACCAAGGTTGAGGTGTAGAACTCAATTTAACGGTGACAACGGTTGTGGTTTGTGTTTAAATTCTGCAGAAACAGTAAAAACAAATAATAGCCGTAAAAGAATATACCAAATTACTGAATCAAAACCATTTGGTGATGGTCTTCGCAATCATAATGATACATTAATCCACTGTGTGAGAGAAATAAAAGGAATGAAGAAAAAATCTATTCTGTGCGACATACCAAATTTTAACATCATCAATAACTTAGACGTTGATTGGATGCACTGTGTGGCATTAGGTGTTTGTAAGCAGTGTTGTAATCTCTGGTTCGATAGTTGTAATCATAGAGAAGATTTTTATTTTTATCCATTTCTGAAGACGTTTGATCAAATCTTGTGTTCTTATCGACCGACCTCAAAATTATCTCGGACACCAAGACCGATGTCTGATCGTCATTATTGGAAGGCTCATGAGTTTGTGGCATGGTTATTATATTATAGTTTGCCAATAATGAACTCAATGATTCCTAATAAACAAGAATATACAAGCACTGGAGTCTTTTAGTAGATAGCGTTTCAATTTTGTTAAAATCTTCAATTCTTAAATCAGAAATACATTATGCAAACCAATGCTTGATTAAGTTCATTGCAGGAGTTAGAGAATTATATAGAGAAAATCATCTAACATTCAACGTTCATCTATTAGCACATTTACCTGCAAGTGTATTAAATTGGGAACCGTTGTGGACTCATAGTGCCTTTACATATCCCGAGTAGAATTTATTTTAGGCATGCCTAAATACCCATCAGGCCCTTATTGGGAATTGGATGGGTTAGCATAAATTAGGCATTCCCAACCTATGCCTAATGAAATTGTTATTTGGGTATTATAGGGATAGCCTAAAATTTGCCCAATTTTGCTATGCCTAATAACTTACCAACTACAACCTTATTAACTTTCCTAACTTTATGTGTAAGTCGTGCACTGATAAAGAAATGTTTATTAGGACCAAATTAGGATTCCTCAAACTACACCTAAATTCGGTTCATTTTATGTTAGCCTATAAATGATAATAATAGATCTGACTCAGAAACAGAAGTGCTTAATAACAATAATAATTTTATAGAACCACCAGATGATCTTGATGATCTTCGTAAGTAGGCTTTATTGGATCCACCAATATCCCATACTAGATTAGAGGCATTGATGAATATTTTGAGAAGAACGGCTTACCCAACTCTTCCAAAGAACGCAAAAACATTTTTGAATACCACTTCTGTCGATTATAAAATAGAAAGTTTCGATGGTGTCGACGAGTTTGTGTATTTTGGAATAAAAAATAATCTCCAATTGTGTATTAACAGTAATATTCATAGAAATAATAAGGTTGAATTAATGTTTAACATTGATGGCCTACCATTATTCAAATCAACAAATAAACAGATCTGGCCGATATTGTGTAAAATATTTCATTCTCCAGATATTTACAAACCGTTTATCGTAGCAATTTATTGTGGAAATAGTAAACCTACAGATATTAACTAAAGGTCATGGTGGATACAGTGCTTGTGAACGATGTACAGTGCGTGGAGAACGATATAATAAAAGAACAGTTTATTTTGTGAATGCAGAAACTACTTTAAGAACAGATGAATCATTTCGCCTTCAGAGTGATCGTAATCATCATAATGGAGTGTCACCTTTAATAAATATCAATCCGAAAATTGATTTAATAAAAACTTTTGTATTGGACTCAATGCACTTGCTTAGCCTAGGAGTGATGAAGAAACTTCTGGAGTACTGGATCGACGGAAAAATCAACAAACAACATAAAATAAGTCAAAACTCGAAAGCAAGATTATCTAATTTGCTAGAAAAGGTTAAAGTCCCTGATGAATTTCAGCGAAGTACAAGATCTTTGACCGAGTTTCATAAATTTAAAGCAAATGAGTTTAGCTTTCTTTTGTTATACAGTGAGCCTATTATCTTCAAGGGCATTCTGGCTACAGAAGTCTATCAACACTTTTTACTCTTGCATGTGGCATGCAGAATTTTATCATCAAATAAGCTAGTTGAGAATAGATGTAGATACGCTCGATATTTATTATCAGTGTTTGTAACTACTGGTGCAATTTTATATAAGCCTGAATTTCTTATTGGAATAGTACATAACCTTACACATCTTACTGACGATGTAGAACATATGGGTTGTTCTTTACCAGAAATTTCTGCACATCCATTTGAAAACAAATTAGGAAGAATAAAAAATCTTCGCAGTGGTAATAAGCCTCTAGCTCAATTGTGTCGTAGGCTTCATGAAATATCAGAAGTTGAAAGTAACAGCATTAATATAGAACCAAATATTGTTATCGTAAGGCAATTGAAACCAGATGATTCTGGGAGGATAACTATCAAACGTATAAAATATAAAAAAATTATATTAACGACGAAGCCACCTGACAATACGGTATTATTAAAAGATGAACGACTACTGCAAATTTCCAATATATATATACCTCCAATGGTGACGTAGCTTCGATACGTTTTGTAGGTCAAATATTAAGAAAGCGAAAAGATGCCTTCAAATATCCTTGTCCATCTAGAGATTTTCAAATATGGAATGTAAGTATACATAATACACGAGTTGTTGATTTAGAACTAATTAAAATAGACAAAAAAATGATTTGTCTAGATTTTAGCAATGAAAATAAAGAAAAAATGTATGTTTTTCCTTTATTACATATGTAACAATTTTAAGTAATATAAGTGTTGATTGTTGTGAAAGTGTTGAACAATCGAGTTTATTAGAAAAATGTAATAAGATACATGTGATATAAATAGTTATTTATTCCGTTGAATTGATAGACATCGCTTGCAAGTGACGCTTCCAGTCGTGCTAAGAAATTGTAAACAAACATACTAATCTAGTGTTTTTATTGGATAACGAACAGTGTGGTTTATAATATAGACGTTAACGAATGTTTCTTTGTGTTTCTTCTAAATATTTCTTTGTGTTCTTTATCATCAAGTCGAATGTTGTGTAGAAAATAGTTGCCACATTGAAGCTCGTCATTTGGTGTTTAGTTCTTAAAGAAGATTATTCTGTTCAGTAAAGCGATTCAGTAAATTAGTTACATCCACAAATAAGTAACTAAAAAGTGATTGATAAAATTTATATTGATTTGATTGATAAAAAGTGATTGAAAGTAAAAAAGTGATTGACAAAATTTATATTGATTTGATTGATAAAAAGTGATTGATAAAAATTAAAAATGTCAGACAGTGCAGATGATAATAATATTCGAAGTTACAAATACAGACTAGTAGTATTTGTCACGCAAAAGAAAAAAAAGAGAATAGAAATAGATATCATTCCCAGTAATTGGATTTTTTGGGATAGTTCAAGTAATACTTTGCAGTGCAAATATATGCCTAGACCCTACAGTGAAGAAAAAAAGATAGTTTTATCAAAAATGATAAAAAATTGTGAAACGCCACATAGTGATTGGCCACATTATTAAATTGAATTCAGGGGTAGAGCAAGTAGGTATCTTTTCACTTCTTAAATTTTGCTAACATTATTATACCGAAGGATTAAATATGATTGTTATAATTTTTTTTACAGAAACTTATTCTGAAGCTCAAAAATTAGTTTCAGAATTAGAATATAAACCATACGTTTACTCTACAGAAAATGAGAGTTCAGCTATTAAAAAGGCTGATGAAGATCGTGAATTTTTTAAAAACCGAACGGTACCGAAACATTTTGCTACAAAAATTTTGAATAACGTCTGTAATGATTTAAATGGGAACTTCGATTCAAATATTGGTAATGAACTTTATCAAATTATATTTCTTTTTATTAGAGTAATCAATTTTTGAGAAATTTATATTGAAGTTATAATTCCAAAAGCTTATTGAACGTTAATAAATAAATAACGATTAGAAATTATCAATGTAACTAAAAAATTATTTTATGTTCGAAGTTTTGAAAATTTTCATGATTATTCATTTTTTTCTATAGGAATAGATAATTTATTATCCAAAAGTGGAAGCAGTTCAAAGGACTATAAAAAAAAAGACAAGGAATCTATGAAGCGTAAAAGATCTTTCAAAAAACGTAAGCAGCCACCCTTTAATATTTTTTCATAAATTGAATACTTCAATACTTACTTAATATTGAATATTATTATATACAGTGCACAAATCTAAATTATCAAGAACTAGTTCGGGCTCTGATAAAAGTTCCGATGATACAAGTATAGATGAAAATAAGAAAAGAAGAAAGCCTGCAAACTTAAAAAATAAGCAATCAAAATCAGCTGATGGAAAAACACAAAAAAGAGCAAGTTCAAGTTCTGATAGTATAAGTTTAGATGAAAATATAAGAACAAGGAAGCCTAAAAATAGTAAAAATCGGAGTCCAGGATCACAGGAAAGGAAAACAAAAAAAACAACTCGTATTTCAATAAGCTCTAGTGGCGAAAATGATACAGGGTTTTTTAAATCAAGTACATCAGATAATATCAAAAATAACAAATTAGAAGATAATAATAAATGTGGTGAGTTTTTATAGTAAATACATAAACTGTAGATTGTATTTTGTGAATGTAAAATTTTAAGTTAATAATTTTTTCACAGAAAATTCTTGTTGTATTCATGAGAAAACTTTGAAATCATTGGAATTTAAAATAGACACAGTGATTAGCAACTACCATTCACTCAGTAAACAAATAGGTACACAAAACAGCCTGATCATTGACTTGAAAAATTCATTCCAAGCTCAAAATATGAGTCAATATTACATAATGAGTGATGGTGAAGAAAGTAACCCGAACGTGAAGCTTCCCTGTCAAACGAAAGAAATTTTCGATCAGCTAGAAGAGGCATTGAAAGATAAGGATTATAATAGCAAAATGGTAAATTTTTATACTATTTTTTGCTCTGTATGTTATATGTTCTATAAAATTATATAAAAGTAAAATAAAAAATATATATCTTAATTTCAGATACGTAAATTTTTAAGAATGATGAACAAAGAATTACCTATTGTCAAAAATACATCAGCAATGATAAAACATTGTCTAAGTCGAGATCTTGCTCTACAATTTAATTTATTAAAACCAAATGATAAAAAAAAATGAGTATTCAGCAGTACAAATCTGTACAAAGTTATAAAAAGTACGTTTTAATTAATTACTTGATAAAGATATGTACATAATTTTTTTTCAACAGAAATTAAAAAAAATTTTTTTCTTCATAGATGTGCTCATTAAATGTCATTCACATTCTAATGAAGATGAGTTACCAGATCACGTCATCAATGAGGCTATAGCATCTGTACTTTACCATGCTCGAGATTGGGGAGGTTTTCGAAGCATACGAGCATCGAAAAAAAATCAACAAACCAAGATTCCAGTAATCTTACACAAAGCGATAAATAAATATTCTTTCGTTAATTTTCTCTTTTGAAATATTCAAGAAATGTGGAATTTTGTTTCAGTATAATTCAAGTGTTCATCTGTGTGTAATTTTTATAATTATAATTTTAATTTTCTAAATATATAATATTTATTCAGTAACAAGTGATATTCATAATAATAAGCAAGTTAAAGAATTTTGTTTTTTATACCGTATTAATTTTAATATTATTTCTTCAATAACAATGTTCATTTCAAATATAAACATTTTTTATTTATTAAAAATTAACATTCTTAATAATATAATAGTAATTTTCATACGTATTATATTAACTATTTTGTATTTAATGCATTTACATAAATGATTCCGAATATACGTCTAAGTTTCAATATTTTTAGAGGTGACAATTTATTTAGAATTCCCAAAAATTTCCTTAATTAGGCTTTCCGCATCTCACTCCAATTGGGACAAGCGTTACATTCCCAATGTGGGCCCAATGTGATATCCCGTTTGGTGCCTAACTTGAATTTAGGAAAACCGAAATGGGTGCGAACTGTTTCCCAAGAATAAATTCTACTCGGGATGAGGATTATAATCAAGTTGTAAAAAATTATGTAAACAGCTCTAATAATGTCCCGTCCCAAATTTGCTTCTCTTTTCAAATGAATTCAGCAGTCATTAATTTGGAACAATATTGTGACAACTACACATCTTCAAAAGAAAAATATTTGATACATCAGATATTGAATCGGGATCATCTGCCTAAATCTTCAGTTTCTATTCATAATATCCATCTACTTGGATCTCCTGTAAATTTAAATAATGACAGAGTAAAGTTTTTTGAATCTGTTATTTATCGTAGTGGAATTAAAATTGATAAGGATGAATTCATTAGTTTCTATTCTAGAGCAATCATTAATCGGCAACAAATACAAAGTACATCTTATATAAGATCCAAAAAACACGATAATTCTAATGTTTTGCTATTGAATAATACAATATTTAAGATTGAAATATTTATTTTAATCAAATCACGAAATAGTTTGGAATGTTATGCCATTTGGAGGTTTTTTGAGAAAATACATAATCCTTCAAAAGATCATAATTGTAGATTCACATATTTAGTAGAATTAAATGAGTTAAGCGATCAAAGTGTATCAATAGTAAATGTATTAGAGATAAATGAGTTAATTATGGTTTTAGATTCTCCGTTTTTAAATAATCCTGTTGGATGTGTACAATTAAATCATCATGAATGTTTAAAATGCATTTTTTTTCTATTGTTACTATTACGTTCATTTACAACTTGTAAAGCAATTCGTGTAAATAATTATTACATAACACAATAATAAATTATATTCAATATTCTAATCTGTATGATTCACTTCCATGATTAAAGTAAGCACATTTAATTATGATTTCATCTACATTTTGATGTATTACATTTTTTGTAAATAATACCTGCACAAAGTTTAAATAAATTTTAATAATGATGAGTCTATAGGAGAATATAATCTATGAGACGTGATGCACATCCAAGGTACTCAATGGACTAGACAAGTCATTCAATTTTGATAATAACAGGTTACTGCATCATACATGTGAACAATGTTTTCTCGCGAAAATATCACCTGCAGGATCTCAACTATCATCACTAGAGTTTGACGTCGTCCAAAGCAGTGAGTTGTTAATGTGTTTGTTGACACTGATATGGCCGAACTCAGGAAAAAGAACCGTTATGCATCTTTCAAATGCAGCTAGTATCATGTTACTTTTCTTAATTTCAATATTTATTCATTTTTTTTTGAAAAATGCTTATGTCTCGAAAACGGTAAGAGATAGAGCAAAAACAAATTTTTAAACTATCTAATTCATGATGGTTATTTCCACTGAATGATAAATTTCAAAATAAATCCTTCAATAATAAAAATAGCTGTTCATACATAATGTTCGTAAAGATTTTTTAGTTACATTTCAAGTAGAGAACTGTTGAGATATTTTTTGTAAATTCTCTTTGAACATATTGAGAATAGATAAGAAGATCGACTTCGAACGAATGCCCTCCGAAAAGGATGTAAGGAAGAAAATTGGAAAGAAATTGAACAAATTAGGAAAAACTTTTTTTTTCTTCTACTAAAAAAAAGGTAGGTATGACTGGTTTTCCCAAACTGCCAGCAATGAGAACTTCTGTGCGTCGTTATTGCTGTTTAAATTATTATTAATTTTTCTTCATTTATTAATTGAATTAATAAAAACAAGTTTTTCTTTTCTTCAAATTTTTCAATTTTTTTTTTTCATTTCGAAAATTTATGTAGATATATATAAGATATATTCTGTAAGTATCTTAAATATATCTTTTTTATTACTGGGATATAAACGGGATATATTCCGGATATATAAAAATCGGCCAAAAGTATAATATCCCAAATATATCCCGCATACATTGTTTTTGTATCTGGATATATTTTGGATATATTTTGGATGTATTTCATATATCTCCCAGATACATTATGGATACATTGGATTTCCTTGTGGGTATTGCCATGACTTCGTCAGCGTAGATACTATTTGACTAATATGAACGGTAATGGACTAATAGAATTTATGATGAAAGATTTAAAACCATGTTATTTTTACAGCTGATTGAGATAATTACTTATTTATTGTTCCAATTGAAAATTTCATTACTATGGATACTGTCTCCACGCCCCGCAAAGGCTACGTATTAGTAAAAAAAACTATACAACCATCTATAATTAGTTCAGAATTGATGAGGATTTCTTGCACATATATAGATACTTGTTTTATGACTTTAGATAATTAATTTATACAATAAGTAGGGTAGCCGTCGAGAGAAGCAATATTTAAATACACGAGATAATATTGATTCTTATCAAATGGTTATAAGCCCATTTTTGGTCGTCTTATAGACCCGATATGTTCTTATTCATTCTTATAAATTGTGTATTAGAATCTATCGGAAATTATAAGTTTTTATCAGTTTGTTTCGCCAGGGTGTTCCCTCTTTCTAAGCCCGAGGAAAGACGCCTTGTATTGGGACGACAAACATTCACTGAAAAATGCTCTAAATGGAATGGTCGAGTGGGATACAAAGTTACACAACTCGACACTGTGTTCCTAAATGAAAAGCACCCATAAACTTCCGTGTGCACCACAGGACCTAACCTATGATTATCTCGGACACGATGACATCAGCAAAAGTCGTGCGGATACGCCACACACTTCGGCTGACATCACCGGCCCGAGACAATTATAAGACACTTAGATCCTTTGATACACAATGTACTATTATGTATACGCGATTATTAGAGTTATTCTAACATAAAATTGTAATTTGTTAGTTTTAGAGAATTTCCAAGTAGGTAACAATAACTAATAATTAATTTGAAAGAATTAATAATGAGCGAAATATAAAATATTACATAACTTATTTAGATTATTGGCATTTAAAAATTAATATATCTATTTATAATTTAATAAGTTTTGTTGTGCTATTTTTTGAAGAATCAATAAAAAGTGTTCAGTAAATAAATACTACAATCATTAATATGTCATTAAACTGTCATTCGTTCCGATAAATTCTACAATGTTTTAAAATTGAAAAAATTTGGGTTTATAATTGAATTAATTAATCTGAATCACTCTAGAATACTCTGAAAATCTCATATAAATAAAAATAATTTTATCTGATAAACTGCTTTACTCTGAAAATTATAATTTTTAATCTGGAGTGCAATTCTGTTGTACTCTAAAAATTTGTAATCTTCATAAACTTAACTCCGTAATTATCTAGAAAATCTCGTATAAAGGAAAGCTATTTTTCTCTGATAAACTCTAATTTAACCGGAAAAGCTCTAAAAGTATGTTTCGAATACAGCAAGATTTCAGAATATTTTCAGAATAATTTTCTAACCTTTTCAGACTTTTTTCCGAGTGTTTCAGAATGAAGGTCATTTATATATTGCATCAGATGGGTCCAAATAGAGAAAATATAGTGTTTAAAGGATAAAAGGAAATGCGCGATTCAATTTGTCGACACGACATAAAAGATAGCCGAGTTGTTTAGAGCTTTTTCTAAATGCGCTAGATTGAATTTTTTTAACGCTTAAGATTTTTTTGTATTTTGTTAATTTCTCTCTAAGGCGATAAAATCTATTTTCGATTTTCTAATCACTGACTAATTGTTTTTTAAAAGCAATAAATCGTCCTTTTTGCTGACTGCTTCTGAATAATATTATATGTTATGAGCACCTTGTTACTTACTATATATTCGTTTTTCTACTTTTAAAGCAAACAATCAAACCTTATTTCTGTATGTTTCTCCCTTTTCTACCTTTTTTTTACTTATTGATTATAATTTTCATTAGAATTAAGTGGACTGTATGAGTAATTCAAGAGGTTGGATGCTAGGAGGTTCAGAAAAGCACTTACAAACACAACGAATATCGGTTTGTTAGGCTTTGTTCACATAAACACTTAAACTATGAATATCTATATAATTAATCACTGAATGTTTGTGAATTGTCTATGTTCGTCAGTTGTCTATCTCAGACCGCGTGTAGCGACAGGCATACAATACAACGGAGTTGTTCGGGGGTGTGCTGTACGGGTGACTGTCCGTGAGGCACTATAGCGTCGACACTAGCACAGTTTCGCGCCCAAAGACTACTGCTGTTCCTGGACCACTTGCACGTTTGTAGGGGCTTGGCTCGGAATGAGCTTAACTTATTTAAATTTACGATCGTTTTATTACGATTTGAATGTACTCGCATTAGTTTTTATAAAAGCTAATATACAACTAAAGTAAGATGTCGCACATAAAACTTGAATCAATTGAAAATCGAACATCGTAAAAATACTCCAAAGGAGTTCAGATTTACGTACTCCGTTGATATCAATTATAATTTAACCTGAATATGGCATATTGACCATAGATATTCAAGGAATAAAACAAAACGTGATGTTCGATTTGTTGATATTTAATCTTTTGATCTCTTTCGATTCAAAATATGGAAAAAATTTGTTTTGATTAATTACAACCGTTAAATGTGTACTAGTTTGCATTATCCGTTACTTTCTATAGTAATTAATATGCATTTGGTCCTTCGGAAAAATATTGACAAAA